GCAGAATGCAGCAGCTGCGGGAGACGGGGCAGGCGAGCGGAGCAGGCTCAGCGGCGGGAGCGCAGGCGCAGCAGCAGGTGCGGGGATCTGAAGCAGCGGCGGCAGTGGCGCATCAAGGCAGCCAAGCGCGCGCACACGCGGGCGACACAACGGCGTAGCGGACGGGGTGATGCCAGCCTGCAGGAGCTGCGCCATGCAGCGGCGAGCGGGAGGGGCGACGCGTCGTGGTGCGCGCTAGACATGGGCGGACCGCAGGGCACACAGGAAGCAGGCTGCGCACGGCAGCACGCCGGAGGATGGCGGACGTACAACACGCACACATGGAGGCACGGGAGGATGCTCATGAGCACATACGAGACTACGGGGGTGTGCGCAGGTGCGACCTCGTCCAATGGAGCCCACAGGCGAGGTAGACGGGTCCTAGGTGAGATCGGCTAGGCCCAGCACGCGGCCATGGCGGACGGTGGCTACGGTTATGAGCGGACGCGCTAAGGAGCCGAATCCGACGAGGGAAAAGGGAGGAAAATAAGCGGAGGCTCACAGCGACTCGGAGGCATGCTCGGGGAGGTCGGGGATAGCCGGAGAAGTACGGATCGACGCCGGGAAGCGGTAGTCGTCGTCGGGGAAGAAGGTCGCGGCCGACGTCTTGGCGGCTCCTCGATCCAAATCAACTGGCGTAGACGACGTGGTCGACGTCGGGGATCCTCTTGAACGTATCCTTGCAGCGCGGGGTGGCTTCGGAGCGTGTTGAGGAAGGTGGCGCGGCGATGCAGCGCTTGGCTATGCGCAAGGAAGAAGAAAGAGGCGCGACGAGGGGGGAGGGAGAGGGGGTGCTAGGGTTCGGGTGAGGGGTGCTGTTGCTAAGTAGGGTGAGAGAGGACCGTGGATGCGTGCCACGGTGCCATGGCATCCGTGGATGTGCTCCACGATGCCTCACTGCTACAGGTTGAAGAAAACCAGTGTGGGCTGGGCCTTCGTGCATTGTAGCACTTAGGTCCAGTGGCACTGTAGCAGATGGGCTTTTACTTTCTCTGTTTTCATTTCTTTTGCCCATGTTTTGCATTTACTTGAGCTAGTAAATGAATTTACTTGAACTCAAAATTTAGTATATAAATACTAGACTATGTAATGACCTAGCGCAACAAGTTTCAAATATTTTCGAATAGTTTAAATATTTGCTTAACTTTAAATGGTTGATTTAAATGATGTTGGTTCTGTTTTGAATATTTTAGGGTCATTTAAATATCCCAAATGATGTTGTTTTACTCATGAAAATTAGTTAGTGAATATTTGGAAAAGAACGAACATTTTCGTTGTTGTTTGAATAAATATTAATTTGACTCTATTTTAAATTGAATTTGAATTCGGTTTGGAACATAGTGAGGTTTAGAAAAATAATTGTGATGACATGGCATCATTAGTGAGTGGTTATTGTAGCTTGATTATTCGGGCGTCACAGTTGCCCTGTGGTATTTTCCAGTGAACTTTCGTTTTAGCCATAACGTCTCTGATTCGATTATATCATCTGCATTGTTTGCATGCTAATCTATGTCTGATGTCACTTGAACATTTAAAGAACAATTTTAGATGGACAAACATTGCAACCTAATTAAACACATAGCCCCCCCCCCCCTCCCCCTCTCAAACTATTGGCATTAGCACTTAACCCGTAATCTTTGTCGGTGACTTGGAACAGTAAATGGAAAATCAGGAGAAAACAAACCCATGAGCTGACAACAGAATGCACGAAAACAGCTAAAACACAAAACTATACA